CCGCCCAGACCAGGTTATAGTCTACATTACCTGTTGACCACCCGAGACTGGGATGTGACGCTCTGTGTTGTTTCTACTGCACGTCGGGTGGCCCACGTCCCATGTCGTCGCTCCCGCTGGACCGCGCTGCGTCCCACCCCGCCTCCGCCGCCTGACGGCCGACCCTTGACCCATATCGCCTCCTCCGCCGGACGACCCTCTCGTCTCCGACATCGTCTCCACTGCCGGACGACCCTCTCGTCTCCGACATCGTCTCCGCCGCGTGACGTTCTCCCCGCTCCTCATACCATTGGGGTTCTCTGCATTGGGCTTCCTGCCACCCGACCCCGTTTTATTCTGAGCGTCGCCGGTGCTGCCGGACCGCCTCATCCCCCCCCCCCTCCCCGCCGCCGCCGCCGCCGCAGGGCCATCTCATGCCCCATGTCGTCTCCTCCGCCAGGCTGCGGGCGCACGTGGAGTGCGCCGTCTCTGACGAGCTGGCCACGCTGCGATCCGAGCAGGAGCAGCTGGCCAACGACCTGCGCACGCTGCTTTCGCGGCAGACGAACGCCGTCATCGAACAGACCACCACCGCCGGGTAACGCCGCAGGACAGCTTGGCTTCAGGGCAGCGCGCTCTCCCCGGCGGGCAATGGTCTAGTGAAGTCCGGAGCTCGTGAAAATTTAGGAATCCCTTTTTTGACTGGAGGATGACCTCATCCCTTCCTGCTTTCCTTGTTCAAGCGGGTTTGCGGGATTAGGTGATGGCAACAAGGATAAGGTGTGGGGTAATTTGCAATGGAATTACGGCGCGTTTTTCGCGGCAATCACCTGTCAAGCAGACTGACATTGCGCTTAAGAGATGGCACCATAGCAAGAACGCTTGACGAGCTTGCTTCTTTAACGCGGGGGCCACACCCGAGGGGTGTAGGCGACCGCGGGTCCTTGCGTCTGTATTGTCTATATGTGGCTCGGTACTTTGCTATTGTTGCCTCTGCCAGCACATCTTTCTCAGATTGGATCAGTTTCCTTACTTCAGCACTGTGTAGTCTTTTGTGTTCTGTATTCTTCCATGCCGACCTGTGCCGCCCGCCTGTGCCCAGTATGCTGGTCTTGGACCCAGTGCGCGCCTAGCCTTGTAGTGCAGCTTGTGCCAGTGTGCTATACTGACCTGTGCCTCCCGTCTGTCCCCAGCATGGTGGTCTGGGACCTGGTGCGTGCCTGGCCTTACAGTACCTCCCGTGTCAGTGTGCTATAATGACCTGTGCCTCCCGCCTGTCCCCAGTATGGTGGTCTGGGACCTAGTGCGTGCCTGGCCTTACTCGCGCGAGGAGACGGCCGCGCATGTGCGCTACTGTTGCGGTGGCCTGTTCCTGCTGCTGGCCGTGGTGGTGCTGCTCGTGCCGCCCGCCTTCGGTCGCCCCGACCTCGGCCGGCCGTGACCTGACCTGACTTGACCTCGGCGGGCGCCAGGTGAGGCGGCGACTGGAGCTCTGGGACTCGACGTGGCCATAGCCGACACCCTTCTCCTCCCCCCGAAGGCCTAGGCTGCACCCGCGGATCACCCGAAACCAACACCATTCCCCCGAGGGGTTGAGCTCTACCCCGCGAACCGCCCGAAGCCCGCACCCCCCCCCCCCCCCCCCCGATGGGCTAGGCCGCACCCCGCGGGCCGCCCGAAGCCGGCACCCCCTCTCTCCCGATGAGCTAGGCCGCACCCCGCGGACTACCCAAAGCCGGCACCTCTTCCCCTCCCGAGGGGCCAGGCTACACCCCACGGACCGCCCGAAGTCCAGATTTAGCACGTCCGTCACGGGGTCAGCCACCAGCCGGGGTCGAAGGGCGCCCACCGCAGTCAGCTGCAGACCAACAGGCGTGTCGTTCGGATACCAGTCAGCATCAGTTGTGTGCCGCCGTCTGTGTCTGCAGCGGCGGCGTGTGGCCGCGGCTGAAGAATGCTGTAGAGTGCTGTCATGTTGACGCGCCAGGGAGGCAGGAGCGAGCGCCTTGCAGTGACAGCATGTGGACATCGGGCTAAGTTCAATGGAGTTCACGTGACTGCCGCCTCTCGTGCCATGCCGCATACTGCGCCCACACGTGTGGCTCGTAACATCCCGGGCAGCGACCCCAAACCCGGCCAACGAACATCCGACCAATGCATGAACGCCACTGTACTCCGCGCCGGTGCTCGTCGGCGGTGGGCGTGCCCTTTTGCTGTTATGATGACTCGGTTATGAATATTGATTCATTGCCTGGCTTAAATTGAATTTGAAAGCCAGGTACACAAACAAGTAGGACAGGATTGGTGCTGGCGAGGCTCAAGGTTGCGGAGCAGCTGAGGGATCAATGCACTGCACCTTCGTTCCTATGTTGCATGAATACTCACCATTTGTCTTGATGTTTCTGGCTTGACCCGAATGATGCAGTGATGCCCCAGTGAACACCGCTAATTTGTACTCGATTAATCATCGAAAAGCATAATCATGGCGTGGCCAATGACGGTGCGCTGTTCGAGGTCGTTGCTGACCGTTGGCTATGTCGCAGCTGCGAAAGCGGCCGGTGCACCTGCCGTTGTGGTCTGCTGCCGATCCGCCTCTGCTGGTGACATCACATCCGTGGCTGCAGCAGCTGGTCCGCCTCTGCGCCGGTTGATGACGTCACATCCGGGGCTGCAGCAGCCGATCCGCCTCTGCGCCGCCTGATGACGTCACATCCGTGGCTGCAGCAGCTGGTCCGCCTCTGCACCGCCTGATGACGTCACATCCGTGGCTGCAGCAGCTGGTCCGCCTCTGTGCCGAATGATGACATCACATCCGTGGCTGCAGCAGCTGGTCCGCCTCTGTGCCGAATGATGACATCACGTTCGCGCCTGCAGCAGCAGGCTGGCCTTTGTGCCGGCTGATGACGTCACGTTCGCGGCTGCAGCAGCTGGTCCGCCTCTGTGCCGGCTGATGACGTCACGTTCGCGGCTGCAGCAGCTGGCTGGCCTCCGTGCCGGCTGACAACGCCACGTCAGCGGTTGGCGAACGACACAGCCGCACACGCTGAACAGATCTTCTTATATAGCGCCCCTGTTAATGTATCGCTTGTAATGTGTTGACATATTTATGATTTGCATAAACATACTACTGCGACGGCTGACCTGTTGAATAAACGTACCGTTTTTGTGAGTCGACCTGCAGTTTTCTGACTGTTCGGGTGCGATCGAACGTTTGACGATTGAGGACCGCCCTGTCATCGGAGGCACTGTCATGGACATGAAAACGCCGCCATTTGCATGCCTGTGATACATAATAAAACACGGCCGCAATAAGAACATCGCACCTTAACCGCTCTGAGGATTTAACAGAGTGGGTGGGGGCTTTGTGCCTCGGGGTGGCCAGCTGTGTTTCCTCGTTTCAGTGCTCCACAGATCAGTGATGGGACACAGCTGAGATGGACTATACGTCATAAAATGTTCCAGAGAAACGCTGCCGGTCGCAAAAACGTGAAACCGGTGGAATGTGTGCCCACACTCTCCCACCACAAATGGTTTTTGTGGACACGCTACGCAAATAGCACGTACGGACGGCTACGCGGGATCAAGCAAACATTCAGGATTGGACGGAACCTTGGGTATGCAAGAGGCCGGCCGTTCGGCGCGTGCACCATTCCGCATCATTCAGCGGCAACGTATGCGGCGCGTCGCAAGTCCTACCGGCCGTTTGCCATCTTGTGTCATGGCTGCCGGGCGTGCAGGATCAGGATGAGCTACGTCACGCTCGCGATGCGCTGCTTTAGCATAAATTAGAGCCAGCGATGTCGTGAATGGTCTGGTCTGCACGTCTGGTGATCTTATCTATCGGCGTTATCGCACGACGAACCGACGCCGGATGACGCGATTGTGAACAACGGGCTCCACCTACTAGCTTGGAAAACAGCACGGTTAACCGAACGGCGTCAATGCATGACGGGCTGAGCTGATGTCTCGAGATCGCTGGTTTTCTTCGTGAACTAGAAATAGCGTTGCCCACACAAACATGGGCGTGCTATGTTCTCCTCGGCTGTACGCCGTGCGCTGGCTTCGAAGGAAGAGCGGTGAGTAAGCCGTCCACGCCTCGTCGCACTGAGAGTCGACAGGCGTGACAGGCCCTTGGAAGACAGCATTGGTACGCTGTTGTCTTTCGTCGCATCGGATGTTTCACGTTAGTGTCCACTCCATGCAGCCACGCGTGGAAAGGCATGACGAGTCTATGAGTTCAGGTGGACCAGACTTGCTATGAAATATATGATGTCGATATGACCAGGGCAATCAACAGCAGAACCCGTGCTGGTGCAGCATAAATTCCCTGGCACCGCAAGAACGTCTGTTGTCTTTTTTTCGCCTTTTCAAGAACGTCAAGAACTGTCTTTTCCATTGATTTCCTAGGGAGCAATTGTAACATGCCTTCTTTCTGTTGGCTCCCTTACAGTTAGGTCTAAATTTACCTCCTGCACGAATGGTTACACCGAATCTAATCCCACTACCCAGTGGGTGTTACCCATGTGCGGACGATCAATAAAAATGGAGAAATTACGTTCCAGCCACGGGTCAAGTGTGTCAGGGTCGCTGCCCTATGCCGCTGCTCTTACGGCGGTGGTGCGTGCTCCCAGTCTTAGAGCGTTCTTGGTTCCAATTTGGTTCCCGCAGCAGAGCATTTGCATGATCGACTCTTCGTGTCGTTCGAGGAGGGCTTCCACACCGCCCAGTTCAAACAAAGCTATGTACCTGTTGCATCAGGAGCACGAATGCTTAGCACCTCGTGTCTGGTAAAACGCTCATTACTCTAAACACCTCAGGCGTCTGTCATCGTTAACATTCAGACGCACACTATGGACAGAAGTGTGGGATACATGTGTGGGTCGATTTCAATCGTAAACGCAAACTAGCACCACCATCAACACATGCCTTCTAAAACAGGATACTCTCTTCCGGGCGGAAAATCACGTGAACTCAAGATCCTGGGACGATTCTCAACAACTGTCAGGGGACGACAACACGGCACTGATGATCATTTTTATTGTAAATATCGAGGTGTTAGGTACACAACACACGCGCTAGCTCTGCCGAGTAGACGCTACACGTAACACTTAACAGTACGCTTGGTGTACAATGCATCAGGTAGGGCGCGCTCCTGGCCAGCGGGGCACGCGTCTCATCAAGCCTGGCATATCGGTCGTCCGGCGGAGGGGCGCCGGGGTGGCGGCGGATGGGTCCGCTCGCGCCGGCGGAGGTGTTTGGATGCCGCCGCGATGTCGCCCTCGGAAGCGTGGGGATCCCGCCCGGGGGAGTCGGATCAGTTGGCGCCGCTGGCGTGCTGCACGAACACATGCGTCATGATCCGGCTTTAAATGTTTTCAATGTCCGTTGGGCGACGTTGACGGAAGCGCCCGCGGTAGTTTTCCTTTTTAAATCCGGCCGGTGCTCTGAACTGGGGGTTCGCTTTTCCAAATAACCACTTGGGAGGAATGGACCATCTGGACACCAGAGCAATTCCCAACCCAGCGACCCGACTGTCGGTCCAACGTCCAATTTCGTCACACGTGAGCGTATTTCGGCCGACACAACGGACCTTGATCCGGCAATTTCGCCGCAAACACAGCAGCGCAGACACCAGCGAGTCACGCGGCAGACCAAAACGGCCTTCACCGAGCCCTGGTCTGCACCGGGCCTCACAGCGCCCAGATCGGATGACATCGACCGAGCCGACACGACAAGCACCATGTTCCGCTGCCGACGGACGGGCTACCGCGCGACCCACATACCAGTACGGGGTCCACGCCAGCGCTGCTGCCTGCTGTTCACCCGCCGACGCTCCCGCTGCAGACCGCGCGCTGCCTTAACCCTACCAAGAAAACACGCGTACAATGCGCCGCCTCGCAGCGAAAGCTAGCCTACCGGGCAGGGCGGTGTCACCGGCGACGGCGCGATCGGGCCGCTACTCTACCGTTATTCTGACTACCAGCTACGCGCTCCGACCAGCACCGCGCGGCCGTCGGCGGACGAGCAGCGAACTGATGGCGAGGGCCGCGGCCCGCGAAGCGATGGGCGGCGGTAGGCCGGGGAAGCGGTGACGCTGGCGCCCGCCTGCTGACCCGGTCGGGACGAGGTAGAACGCGAGAACGAGGAGGCGCCAGATGCTCAAACGCGGTCCGACCGGTGGACTGCTGGACGATATCGGGAACGTCACGTCTAGACAATGCAGAACAGTGGCACACATTGCCAGGCTTGGTATTTTGGGGGCATGTCGGAGCCTTACGACGGATTTGGCGCGCAATGGCATCGGGGACATTTCCAAAGCGAGATAAGCTTCGGTAAATGATAAACCGATTATCAACTTCCAGCAGTGTCAGGGACAGCACCGTCAATAGTCGCAATCTGAGCATTTCATCGAAGCCTTTGGTAAGATAAATGTGCTTGCTCTTAGCACGTATCAACTAATGATATTTCAATCAACTTATTCATACGTGTGTTGGTGGGTCGGCCCAAGACGACAAGACACTCTTCCCGAATCGCACCGCCACCAGTGCGGTTGCCATGGAAATTGCATTCCTTTAGTAACCAGACCTACATCAATTATTTAAAACCAATCGGTTCAGTTACGTGGGCTTACTTTGAACTAAGCGGAAGCACTTTCCCTATTTTGTTAAAACAGCATGCCAGAGCGGTTGAGGCCTGTCAGGCAGTAGAGGAGAACGGTAGCGCAAAATGCTAGAGGTAAAGTGGTACGAAACGGCACGTTCAAGCGAATAGCTTTGGTACGACTAATGCCACCCAAGCCCCGACAAAAGCATGCCGCGTTAAACCGCAACAAAAGACGCGTACGGTCCTCGGACAGTAATAAAACGAGCCAATAATTCGCAGCTAATACCGACGGCACGCTAGGTACTGGTTCACTCGGGTCCATCACATTCCAAACCGAAAACCCACTCGTCACTACCTACTTCCCAAAATACCGCTCCTATTCTCTCAACGCGAAGTCAAGCGCTCAACACCTTAAACAGCAGTAAAACGCATGGCAGCGGCCGGCGTGCGGGCGGCCGGTCGCGTCCACGCCCCAGCAGGCGGCCCTCACATCTTGAGACCAGTCCGACCGACGCCGCCCGGTCCGGCCTCTCCCTCACGGCCCGTCGTCCGTCTCTGGTGGAGGTCGCGCCTTGGCCGCGCGGCGCCAGGCGGCCACACCGCGCCGGCCGGTGGCACACGCACGTGGGGGCCGCGCCCGCTGTCGGATGCCGAGCGGGCAGCGGGAAGCGAGCAGCGTCGCCCGCTGGCCGGTGAGGCCAGCGCCCGCCGGGCTGCCGGCCGGTCCGAGACCGTCCACTCCCGGCGCGCTGGCTCATCCCGGCGCCCCCAGACGTCCGGGCCGTCACCCGCCGCTCTGTGGCTCACAGCACCGCTTCTGAAAAGGCCCGCTCCTCGCTCTCCGCAGAGCTCTCCTCTCTCAGTAAAGCGAGTCGCGCCGTTCCCCAGCGCGGATGTCGGGCGGATCGCCCACGTGCGCTTCCGCGGCCGGCGGCGGCCGGTGTGTCGTCTCATGCCGGTGCGTGCGGGTGCGTGCGGTTGCGTGCGGGGCCGGCCGGGACGCGGTGGTCCGCCCGCCGCCGGGGCGTCGGCGGCGGCGACGGCGGTGGGGCGGGCGGGGCGGCGCCCGTCCGGCCCCGCGCCAGTTATAGCTCCATGTCGCGCGCCTCGTCCTCGGAGAACTCCGACATCGATGACTCGCTGTCGGACGAGGCGTCGCCGGAGCCCTGGGGCGCCGGGGCGATTGCCTCCTCTGTTGCGTAGCGGCGCACGTGCTCTGCGGGAGACACCCAGACGACGTCACAGACGGCGCGGAGGGCCGCTTTCCGAGCAAGCTTTAGCGATGTAGCGTAGAGGGAGCATGGCGGAACAACACACCATGGGGTCGGATCCAGTCATATTCAACGTCGCGTTAGTTTCGCACGGCTGGTTATGCTAACATAAATACACACGTCATGCTCCAGGACTGAAGCACAGTACAAATGTGCAACAAAATGGTTAAAATTTTGAAAACGGCCACCGGTATAGGCGGGCGATAGGAACTACATACACTGATGACCTTATCCAAGGATCCTGACATATCATAACAGGCAAGGCACGTAAGCAGGAACTGTGATGCGTTAAAATACAGGTTCCATAGACTTAATGGACCCTTCCAAACCACTGAACAATAGTACAATAGATCATTTTTAAACGTAATTTCTAAGCAAACATGCATCGTAATGTCAACTGTTGCCTGGCCGTTATTTTGCAGCGAACATTGTTCTCAACTGGGAACAGGCGCAACCTCCCCTCCTGGTCGTTGCTCCGACGCACCCACGAAGCAGTCCGAGCCCTTTTTGCCACTTATGTTCCGGGGAATGCATGCTTGTCTTCGATTCCGCTCGACTGGCACTGATTCCGAACCCGACTCACAGCCCGAGGAGTTTATCTACAAACTCTTTGGGCAGTGTCCTCTAGGGCGGCGCAGAATGCGGGCCATACCGGAGAATGACCTAGCTAATCAGAATGGGATAAATGAATCGCTCACTTGACTGCATACGCAAATCAATCTATCGCGTTATCGATAATTCTAACAACGTGCATAACTAGCTCGGACCCGATCCGACCGCATTCAAACATTCCAATAAATCTACTTCCCTTGAACACAAAACTTTTATCCCAGTCGACTACGACCACCCGGGATCACGCACCACCCGGGGACTAGGGCATGGCATCAAGCGCAACACATCGGGCACCGTTGAAGGCCATACACCCTGCCAAACCAGCTGGCGCGTTTTCGCCTCTCCTGACGCGACGTCTGTCGCGGCATGAAGAGCAAATACTGCACGCTGTAGTGATGGGCGCCACCAGCTAGCCCTCCATGCCTTTTATTTTGCGTCACCGGGCTGTGCAAAAGCCGAGCAGGTTTTCGACGACGTGCATAGCGCGAGACAACCTGGCCGAAAGGTACCTTCTCACATCCATTAAAATATTGCATCCGCCAAAATATCCAGAATCCGTGAAGAAAATGTGCAACTTGCGCCATTTTAGATAGCGCACTTAACAGATCAGCCGTTGAAAGATACAATTTACTAAAAATTTTGATGTTAACACTATAAGCAAATGAGACGGATTGGGAATCGATAGATGTAGGAATTCATATGCTGGAGTCAAACAAAAGTGTTACCTGACTTAGGTCTGCATTGATCGGAAAATAACTCTGATCATAAAGGTCGTTTTTCTTACCTCAACACATTTCAATCGCCTGAAATATCGTCAGTTCACTTTCCTAGTGCGCCTTCGCAGTTTTCCTTTTGCTGCGCTCAATCCTTTCACAGTTCATAGGTTAATATTGAGACCATTGAAAATGCGTTACTTTTACGTAAACTGCCGCCACTCACTCCGAACGTGCAAAAAGAAACCGGGACCACAGAAAGGAGACAAGACATCACATGCATGAAGCTCACGACTGAAAATGCTGCACTCCACAACCGTGTAAGCTAAAGTTTGCTGCATGATGCCCGTGCTAAGCACCTAGAATCCATATGCAAGCTTTGGATGTGCATTTGGCCGCAGATGAAGACAGGCGTGACACTGAAACTAATTGTCTGATGTTGCTCAGGCCGTCGCAAGCGTGGCATGTCTCCTGTAAACGCTACGGCCTGCTTATCTCTCTGCTTATCTTACGGCCTGCTCCCTGCCCCTCTTATCAGAGGGGGAGGGAGCAGCTAAGTCTAACCCACACCACTTTCGTCGCCAGGATAAAATCGCACTACATCAGATGGGTTTGTGTGCACCAAAGCGTGGCCAGGAACTTACAAGAGAGGAGAAGAAACTAAAATAAGAGACGGGACAGATGGAGAAAAGACAACTTCCGTTTACATAGGATGGATAACAACATACGGGAGAATGACTGAGGAGGTTAAAGCGGGGGAGGAGCAACTAAAATAACAGGCATGATGAATGGGGCTGAGTAAAACCCCGAGCATTCAGATATTTAAGCGCGCATGATGCTGAAGTTGGTATTATGGTAATGCCATATTCCATATTCAGTATTGCAGCGTTTCCTTGTGCGGCCCGAGAGGTCTGATACGTGACCTTGAATACACCAATCAGCATTGCAGCGTTTTCTCGCGAGACCCGAGAGGTCTGATGCGTCACAATGAATGCACCAATCAGTATGGCACCGTTTTCTTCCGCGTCCCGACAGGTCTGACGCGTCACCTTGAATGCACCAATCGCGCGCGTCTTCCAAAGCTGGCGAACTCTGCACCCTTCCGCGCGTTTGAAAACCGGCTTGGTTCAAGGTCAGTTCCGGTTGTTTGCTCAATTTTCCCATCCAAGCCCGCCTGTAAGTGACAATGGCCGCATGCCAAACCTTGAGTGTGACACTGGATAAAAGCATGTCATATACAAGCGCTCGACTATAAAATAGCCGAACAATATTGCAGACGGCAACAACAGCGCCTAGCAGTGAGCCCGAGTTAGCGCGGCCCAGCGCCACTGGAGGCCGCTCGAGAGATCTCACTCACCCGCCACTTTCCTCTTGTACTCTTCGGGTTTGTGCATATACATGGCTGCCGCGTCTCCATTGAGCGGGTCTATGGGGTTCGGGTACGTCAGCAGCTGCGGCAGGAACGATTCGAAGATGTTCGAGAGATCTGGAACGCAGGCGGACAATCGCAGCTTCGCCCACAGCTCAGGTGTGAACGGTACAAAGGTGTTCAAGAGATCTGGAAGGTAGACACTAATGACCTGCTTACAATATAAGTTTGTAGTCCCTCGACCACCAAGCCTACGAAAGACACGGCATCGTCCGAGCTCCGCGTTTATCGGCTCAACATGTAGGATATATCATTTTCCCCAATACATTTGTCATTCCATATCACCGGTACGTTTACACACGAACTGTACGTTCAAGGTTAGTGAGCTGTCTTGACTACCGGATTCAGGACGACATAACATGCACCACGCAAGAATCCACTAAGGCACGAATATTTTCCGTCCTGCATTCGAGACTGGGCCACACACTCGTATGCACTGTGTCCCCGTTACACTTCGACACCGTTTCCCGTACCATACAGTGCAGTCCAGGCCTGGTTGATGACATCCAGACACACCGTGCCGGACATCTCGTCTATGTTGGGATGATACACCTTGTTCATGAACCCGATGCTCGGAGACTTGAAGGGATAATGCTCTGGCAGCAGCACGCGCACCCTCCACACGCCCCCTTCGTACGGCGCTGGAAAATAATGCGGCATGCAAGTCAAGTGTGCGCGCAAACGAAGCGTGTATGTTTCAAGCACATGAAAGCATTTCTGTCGGAAACGAGTTTGGATTGCAGCCTACCTTTCAGGCGAAACAAAGAAGTTAGCTTCGGCGCGTTCAGGCGTCTAGAGGTCAGAAGTCAGCTTACATTCGCACACTGGTGCACAACCGGGAAGTACGTGTTTGAGAACATTTGTTCTGCTCCGATCAGGTTTTCTAATTGCCGACAATGTCACCTGTAGCGACCATATTCAGCCATATTGTCGTAGGTTGATCCAGATAACGGTGGCGTCAATCCTCCTGCTGTTTTGGGACAATCGTTTAAGTTTCAATTCGGTCGTATTGAGTTCATTCGCATTCAGTTTTAGCAGTGAGCTGCAACAGAAGCCAAACCAACTTTCGAAGTAAAAAGGGCAATAGAAATCGGACAGCAAATCCAGGACATCCACACTAACCATACCGCAACTTGACCTGGATAGCGGCTACGTCTGGGTCGGGTCTCGGCCGTGTCCCTACCGGGACCAACACGGCATTGACCCCGGCACGCCAGTTCACCCTGCAGATTTACTTCCAATGAACGCAAGTCTTCTTGTCCAGTGGGGCATTCTCTAGCATGGCGTCTACTCCGGCCAAGTTGAAATATTGCTGTGTGGTCAATGGATAGGATCTATATCCGCTGTCTAGTCTTGAGCGGGAACACAAAATATGGCTGATCTGTATTACAAAACTCTTTAAATGCGATGAAATCGGACTAAAACGTCAGCTAAACTCACCCCACCTCCCCACCATGGGCCGATAGGTGAAAGGGTTTGACCTCAACAGTATGTGGAATTGGTCTAACTGGTACCGAAACATTCAGAGCCACATGTGCCGGCGACAATGTAGGCCAGCCGGGTCAGCTGAAAATATACTAAAAACACGTGCGTGTACAACTCGTGCACGGAGAATATACGTAAACAACTCACGGGTGATCTTTCAATCCCCAAGAAACAGTGGCCACGTTTTTGCGTAGTTCATTCAACACGCCTTGTACGCACCCTGGAAGGCACCTAAGAGTGGCACAAATCCCTGCAAGGGAGGGGGAAGAGCAGCGTGCTTGCTCATCTATCTACTTCCGGTAAAGTTAGAGCGACGAAACGTTAGGGAAAATGTCAGGATATAATCATGTAGGCGAGCAGTCAGGGTTGAAGCTTTCCTTCGGAAGGGTTCAAGCCACTTCCCCAGCTTCGAAAAGCAAGCATGCAAAATTCGGAGAGAACCACCTTCGTTGGCCTTCGGAGGAGCAGTTTTCATAACTCCCCCCCCCCCCCTCCCTCCCCACAAACCCGATTTGCGAAACTAAGCTCCTGCAGTGAATCGCAAAGGGGACGAGACGACATCTGAAGCATGGGTGATGCTCCATAATCATGACGTATTGCTGAAACTAGGCGCCAAACAAAGTCAAGCTTGGCCGTTTCCATTGACGTGTAAAATGCGGAATAAACTGAGCAAATCGATAGTGCTGATCTTCCCAGACAGCTCAGTACGACAAAGAGTGGCGTTCGCCATGGGCGCATGCGCACGTCTGAAGTCAAGGTGTTCGACGCGTTCCGCACCCTGGCCTTGTTACCGTCCCGTCGGGTAGGTACATACGTCCACGAGAGGCGCTGTCAGCCTCGGACAGGTGGGCGAATCGCCCCGCGGCGGGGTTCAAGGTCGACTTGAGCGAGGCGTTCGTTCGGTGACGGCTGGTTATTGTCAAAACGCGGGCGCCCGTCCCCCAGCGCGTTGGGCGGCCGTCGGGGTGACCGAGCTTGCAGACTACGTCAGGTTGTTGCTATGCAAAACAACAAGCTCATTTTGTTGGCTTGGCTAATTTAGTAGGATACGACAGAAGCAGTCTGTTGGAGACTTTTTACAGAAGGTTCGGAAGCCAGTTACGAAAAAGGTCTGTTAGAACACAGCCCGCCATAAAGAGAGACCAATATTTTTTATGAAACATCTGCAAGGAATGTATTACCCGCCGTGCTACGTTCGTCGGCGCGGCCATATCACAAATTTCGTGGCCCCGGAAATGCTGTTGAGGACAATATCCCGCAAACATCCCGCCCAGCGATCTTCAATACACACCACACATCGTACTTCCATCGCATGCCAGGGTTTAGGAACTGCCACTGGCCCATGCCTTCGTGGGAGGAGGTGTTCCCGAAGCCAATGAACCTCGCATTTGTATGGAACAAAACGAAAATGGGTATGCATACACTAAGAAAATAAAATTATCCTTGCCGGTCAAAATTCGGGGGGGGGGGGCAAGACCCATTACCTTTTTGTTGGCAGTGGCACAGCCCGTCCCCCACCCCCAGAAGTGGTTTTAACGTACGTGACTTACGAAATTCAATGGAATCGTTTTAAATCTTCTTGGGTTCGTGCATTAGGTCGGGTTAAATCAGGTCCCGGCCAGTTTTCGGACGTTCTACCGAGGCTTCCGTATGCCTGCGATGTAAAGAAGATCCAAGACAGATTAAGCCAATATTTATGCCCAAACGGTAAAATGTGCACCTGGGGTGCCAAAAGCTACCATGAACATCGCTTTGGTTAGGGCTGGACGTTACGCATGCGCGAATGATCATGGCATTATGACCTTGAGTGACGTTAATACGTGACGATGGGGGAATGTAGGTAATGATGCCGATGGTACAAGTGTCCGCTGGGTCATTCAACAAATTGACCATTACGTACAAGAACTAGATTCTGACTGAGCCTTGATAATGTTATCGCCAGCAACGACACTCATTCCAAACTAGTCGCCACCTAAACGACAAGCTCGCGCGACGTCTATGAAGTGCAAGGTACGACGTAGTGAATCATCTCATCACCGCAGCATCGCTACGCAATCTGTATGAACGGACTCCCCGGCAAAACTGTGTGGCCCCATACGGCAAGACGTTAATATGCTGTGCCCATGTAAAAACGACACTAAATTTTGTGAGTATTCTGTTTGTCACCATTCATCGAATAATAAAATTACTGAATGTTTCCATGATACTGATTCCATTTCTCAAACACTGAGCATTAACAAGATTGACAAAATGTTTTCCAGCAATGACTTCACTACACAAATCCTTCCTAAGTCCACATTATTGCAAACACCCTGAGATGCCACCACCTGAATACATAAATCAGGGGCATAGTTCTGCAAATGAGCTGAGGGGCCTGACCAGTCCAAATGACATAACCTACCACAACATACACCAATAGAGTAGTTTTCTCCCTACACATAGCCCACTTTCTTCTCAAAGTTTGTGGGATGTTAAGAGCCCAAGTTGTTCCAGCTGATGACCCCAAAAAAGCAGAACTACACCCCTGACATACACTCCAGCACAACCAATGTCAATTTCGGTCAGTTTTTAACACATGCAGTGTCAGGGCACAGCTGTTGCAGCCTGACAATCTTGACCAAACAATATGTGGCTGCTACATGAGTGGTGTTTCTTCTCCTTCAACCCATATGCCCACACTGTGTTTTTCTGAGTGCCCAACAATATGTCAACTCATAATAATAATACTCAAAATAATATAATAATACCAATGTGCCCAACAATATGCTATAAGGATTGCTATTTAGTTTTGAGTTCAACCTGACAGGCTGAAGTTCAAGAGATCCTATGTCCTCCCTATTCCCATCAACACTTTGCTGACACTGTGGTCTTCTGATGATGTGGGGGTTCAGAAAAGAGGTTGGGCTAAAGGGTGCATCAACAGTCAAGCCTAATGTTCAGAAGCTCTTACTCATAAATATCTGGTATCCAACTAAATAAAAATGGAACATGACAATTCCTGTCATAGATAATGTTATCATGTAAATACAAAACAAAAAAATGTGTGGAGAACAACACATGCACAGAAACAAAATACAATGCTTCCAGATGCTTGAATACTGCAAAAATGCAACTGCAACACAATGACTGCTTACACTTATGCAGATTCCCAATCCACCCTTAAAGGATGCTAAGTTTGGCTACCATCAGCTGTATCTGACCAGACCAATAAATGTCCGTGGTAATCATTAGTTTGTCTGCACTGTGTCTGAAAGTTGAACAACATGCTGAATAACATTCCAATATTTCAAATAATTATCTTAGAATGTTTGTCAGCCTGAAACACTCCAAAACCATGTGTCCTTGACTGACATGTCTGTGTAAAACATCCAGCTAGAAGTAGCTCACATGCTGAAATACTTACTGTCTTTTGGTCCATAGAATTTGACACAGAACTCATTCAGTCCTCCCATTATTGTAACTTCATGCTTGCTTTCAATTCTGAAACTTGGCTAAGGAAATCAGCCACTAGATTGCATTATGCTACATGACACACATAACAGCAATGGTCAGGTGGGCACAGGCAGCCTATATCCTTTTGAAACACCACAAACATGAAATTCTCTTACATAACATTTGTTACTAGCCAGTGAATGCATTGGTAAAAAATCATAATTATTTCATATGACGTCACAAAAGCATAACATTAAAGATAAACAACATTTTGCCATTTAATAGGCTTTGGTGAAGAACTTGAGGCAAGACTTAGTTGGTGTTTTGTCACAATGCCAAGGAAGACACTAGCTGGAAGAAGTCACATCAGATAATAATTTTTGAATTAAAACTTGTGTAAAGGTATCTGAGATTGCTTTCTTCTCACTATTTATGCCTATGACATACAGAATTTTCTCAGCTGTCAGCACAGTATAGTATGGCAGCATTCATTCAGGCATAGTAGGTTTAGTTGCAGGTGCATCCATTTGAGTGATATAAGTATAATTTACCTTAACTATAAAGCTATACAAGCATATCAAATATCTTTAAGCATTCAGACCAATCTAACAGCATCTAAAAATGTCTACATTTTTACAGTCTGTACATACCCTGTACATTACTCATCATAAACCTAAGCAGCTCACACCAACACTGATATTTTAACCGAAACAAAGAAAAGGCGCACAGACATACCCATGAGGTAACTACATCTAGTCTATGGGTATTTGTGCACATAAAAACAATGAAATGACCCTATGATAGAAGCCAGAGAACTTAACTGATACTGTTTACACATGGTGGAACAAAATGGTAAACTTTCATTTGTGGATGGCTGTCTTTGTTTTTTATATCTAACTAGTGCCATCAATAACATACTGATTTTCTTTTTAATGTACATCTCCTCAGGCTGGCGGTTAAGGTGGCTAATTGGAAAGCAGGCAACCACAACAAGGCATGGTTCAGTATTTGTCCAACAACATAAACACATACGTGGCCAAATAAGTTATGTCTTCCTTGAAAGCAACAAAAACAAACCTACATCTCGAAACGTAGCAATAAAAGACATCCGCTGTGGCGCCTAAGGCAGGTTATGTGGGGCAGGGGACCGTGTCAGTGAGAACAAAGCAATCGAGTAAACAGATGGTTTGTTGTCCCAAAGTAATCCAAAAAGGATACAATTTGATCACGTCTGTGTCCATCCTCTTCTTTCCAGCGCTAGGAGAAGACATTTTGAAAAACGAGGTCTCCACTCGCCAAAATCAGCAAAATTTGTTGGAGGCTGCCAGCCCCATCCACAGCATAAAGAAACGAGTCGAAACTGACACCATCACAATGGAGAGAATCCACTGCGCAATCGTTGATCGCTACGCAATAACGTAACTACATCGCGCTTGATCTATTAAACTAGAGTATCATAAGGAGACAACTCATATGAAAACGGAATGAGTACGTAATATTTTTGTAGGAGGAACACAAAGAGGATAGAGATCGAACTTTTGCCAATGTATACCATGGGGTGTGTTTCGTTTTTAGAATAAGACCCCTTCACAAGTAGGTCACGTGACCAATCAGCTGGTGCATGTAAACAGAAGGTTCAAATTTGTTATTCCCCAGTTTTATGTAGATTGTACCAAAAGTTTTCGATTGCACTAAGCCCATTCAAAAGTGCCCCTCCCTTACAAAACAAAAGGGCCTTTTGTTTCACAAAAATCTCTTCCAGACCAATTTAATTGTTGAGCGGATTGTGTAGCAATGTTCCTGACATCACCATCCCGTATCGCAATTTAAATTCAATGGGCGATTTTGGCGTGTCTTCATCGCAAAATAGTACTAACAGTACAATCACGCCCCAGTGCTACTATGCTTGACTTCGAACAATTGACAAGTGAATGACGGCGGGTCCTTTCTTATCAAAGTGAACAATAAAACCGTATTAAGCCAAAAATAACGACGTTCCGAAGGCAATCTGAAAATATCCGGATTTTGGTGTTTACGACTTTCAAGGGGGCTGATAAATAAATCGGTGTAGTTTTGCTTACCAGTCGGGCGGAAGGAACTACCCCTTTTTGATACAAACTTACTGTCTTGAAATGAGCCCTCTGCTATGACTACACGCGTCATGCGAGCTCGGATCAATGGTGACAGCACACGCCCACCGGCGTGATAACTGATCCTCTATGACAACGTTAAGTTTGCATCCCGTATCTTGTCGATGCGGCCACTGACCTGATGACTAGGTCACAGTTACGTTATGCCCTGTGACCTAGCGAAACATTATCACTGGACCGCTGATCTGCGCCCTGTCCTTCTGTGAACATGAAGACTGAAATAAAGACCCGTGTCGCTCGGACGAGACCAGTGCATTGGCTGCCCCTTGGACGCCTCCAGCTGTATTGATGACTCCTGTTCTATGGACACGACACCGAATAAAAGCCTTCTGCCTGTTGAACAAGTACTGAAGTGATCTGTTTTGCCTCGCCAACATCGCAACAGCTTATACCCCAAGCGCCATGCGCACGACTACTGTAGTGGTCCGGTCACCCGGTCGCCCGCGTCGAGGGAATCGATGATTCGTTCCTGTGACCACTGATTACGATGCAATGGCCAGTGACTTATGCCTTGTGGACATAACCCACTGAACTACGGTATTGCGCCGTGGTCGGTGGGAATAAAGTGGACCGTTGGTGTAACGATACGGGCTTCGAACTAGACTGATGGTCCTTGCTTCGTGGACGCGACCACGAGACTGATAAGCCGGCTCCTGTGGATGCGACAGCGGAGGCAGTGACGCGTGTCAGGTAGACATGACAATGAACAGGCTAACGCGTTAATACTACCCGCGAACTGATGGCATATGCCCTTTTGCCGCCAGCTCCGAAACAATGAAATGTGGACAAATCCACTGCACCGACGAACTGTGAACTCGGCCATCAAACTTATCATCCGGGACACTGAAAACCCTTTGGACACAATCGGACTAATGGCCCTTGTGGTGTGAACGTCAGCAGGGGATTATAGCCGTTCCCTGTGGGTAGAACAAACGGGCTGACCACCTGTGCATACGACCAATCAACTGGTGACGCGTGCCAGCTAAACTTGCGACGCTGCTGACCCACTGACCGCCCCCACCGTCGATTGGACTGGATTTGCCGGTTGGTGCGGTCACCGGCGCCGCGTTGCGAAACGCATCGCGACACAACGCAATGTTTTAATGGCTTGCAGAGCCGCCCGGGGTGTCCAACCGGCCCTGCTTCAACAATAGTCTGGGTAAGACTTTCTCGAGGGATGCGCATTGAAACATTTAGACCACATAACGTCCAACGGTCAAAACGTCCAGAATCACAGCATCCAAAACCGCAGCATCCAAAGTTAGTAACATCTAGCGTGCGCGAGATCCAAGGGTTGAGATTCTGTCCGACTTCCTGGCAAAGCGCGGCCTGTTGGCTTGGATATCGGCTGGTAGAGAGATACCGTAGCCGAATTCGCTCCTGTCTGCCGACAAGTGGCGTAATGGGGTACAGTGCTGCCCAGTTAAACCACTGTGCATAGACATGGTCGGCGTCCTGTTCATGCACACAAACTTAGCCGCGTCAGCACGCCCTTCGCAGTAGGCGTACGGAATAATTCAGAACATTGATATCAGGCCTGCGGCCTCGAAGATCTCTGTTTACTTCGCAGTAGCTGCACGCTGGTTGTGGAAGGCTCTTGTCAGTTTACCTGTGGCCTCCTTGTTGCGTGTGTTGACGCAATCATCTGGGGTATTTATTGAAATGAACGGTGCGTTTTTAAGTCGAATAAAAAAGAAAACTAGTAAGCAAGAGTTTTCTACAATCAATTCACTGGACTTATGCTATATTAATAGCCCGAACTGCAATGTTGTTTAAATCGCCGGCAATATGCAGCAAATTTCAAGGATATTCTGGGACGTGAATTGTGGAGTTAATTCGCGAAGAACATTTTTCACTTGCTCAGGATAGTACCTTTAACATTATTCCCTGTCAAATTGCGGGCGAAAATGGAGATAGGTACATTAATACTTCGACCCAATTTCCTCCTCGATTAGTACTGTACCGGATACACCGCAAGCAATACCGTAATATTGTGATGTAATACTGTGTGTACGGTACATAACAGCGAAATGGACTAATCGCAATCGTATTAATAAAGACATGTAACTGGACCACTAAAACATCTGTCTCTTCTTTTCCGCGGTTATTCGATGAGGAATATTGATGAGTATTGTCTTATACAAGATACTATGCGGCTAAGACTAGGATGCTGCCAAAGAAACATGCCGACACCCTACAGCTTTTTAAGGCTTTAATCCGAACCTTTTTGAAAGGTCTGAGATCCGAGCTTGCTCTAAGCAATGCTTATGTGAGCATTCCCACGTCTGATCGTACAATGCCAGGTCCACGGCAGGATTTGGTGGCGAAAGTTCACCGTGCCGCAAGGCAGGATGCCTGAGGCAAGGTCCTGCCATCTCACCTCACCCGACATTCAGCACGGCCGATGTCATCGGCAGCAGGCCATGCCTGTCAAGAGCAGAAGCGAGCGTCTAAAGTAAGTCCGAGTCCACGCCAAGCGTCTAACCAAGTCCGCTCCACCTGCCTGGATCGGAAGGCAGGCGCTCGAAACAGCTGAGCTATCGGGAAGGACTTCAAAGCATATTTTAGAACGTCGCCCCAGATAAATTTTTCACTTACTTTTTCTCTCTTTAAAAGCTCGTGACCTTCTTATTCCCAGTCGCGTGGAGGCTGTGTATACCAAACCCCCGAAGGCACTCAGAGGCTGCGCCGTCAGAGAGGTAAGAGGACAACTGCTGCCTTGTCATTTTCAAAGGGGGCAAAGAGATTTCCCAGACCGTTCTCCGCAATGTGAGGCACAACGCCCGAGAGCTCATCCCGGAAGGCGTCGAACCAGTTTCAGCGCGCGACGGGACTCAGAGCTTGCTTACTGACGCAGAGGAGGATCAGCGCAGCAGCAGTGCGTCACGTGCATTGCCTGCGCCTAGATCGAGTGAATCCAGGTCATGCCGCAGTCGCTTTTGCCAGTCCAAATGCGCCACGTCAGGGAACGTTTGGCTGCGCTCAGTGACGCATCATAGTGACGCATCACCATGTTTGTGCTGACCTGGAAGGAGTATGTGAACTATGTGATCCTCATACATCGCACCGTTCGCATGCTCTCATCGCCACCGTTATAAGCAGCCATATTTACTCCATCATTAATATTTTCATAAGCAAACAAGTTATTTTCGAATTGGGCGTCCAGGCCCACGTAGCTGCGGGGTGAATAGACATGGAATATCACCCCATAAAGTTTTTACCACTGTACATACCCACGTTAATACACTGATATATTGTGTGTGACCCCTCGTCTAGATGGCAATATGCACTATGCTGCTGAGTAGCTAGTACACTGCGATAACACAATATCCGCCGACATGGGGCAACGGACCTCCTACCACGTTCAGAAGAAATAGGGGTGATAACCGCTCGGTTTATATGCTTCCAGTCAATACACACAATGCCAATGCTACATTTCTAAAAAACTTGTGTCCCTCAGCCTCTGCCCTATCGATGGTTCCCGCGCTCCCATCGCTCACGGTGGTGGAGCGCCTCAGCCTCTGCCCTATCGATGGTTCCCGCGCTCTCATCGCTCACGGTGGTGGAGCGCCTCAGCCTCTGCCCTATCGATGGTTCCCGCGCTCTCATCGCTTACGGTGATGCAGCGCCTCAGTCTCTGCCCTATCGATGGTTCCCTCGCCCCATCGCTTAAGGCGGTGGAGCGCCTCAGTCTCTGCCCTATCGATGGTTCCCTCGCCCCATCAATTAAGGCGGTGGAGCGCCTCAGTCTCTGCCCTATCGATGGTTCCCGCGCTCTCATCGCTTACGGCGGCGGAGCGCACGGCACATGAGGAATTTGCATAGCCATAATCAGTGATGAGAACGCCGGTTATTAAACGACTCATTCCTACACCCAATTCTCATTCAAGTGTTGTTATGGTGGTTCTACGACTTCGTCCCCCCTCCCCCTCACACGCACTGCTCCTCCCCTGTCGCAAATTGGTGGCGTCGCCGTTGCCAGTGACCTCGACTGGAACCCTGCATGGTGGCTTTAGAAATAGGACAGTATTTTCCGAGTTTCTTTTCGTTATTTCATTAGATGGAGAGAACTTTCCCGAGCAGCCCGTGATCGTTATGGTCTCATTCCTTTTTATGTGTAAAGCTTTAGGTGCCATCAACCTGTCGATTTCATTAATCATATCCAAACTTCCTTTTTGTGAGCGGTGTTCTGTTAGCATACTGGACCATTTAAGCTGTGG